ATTTTATGAACAGAGCCTCAGTAAATGGTAAAATTAATCAATCAATATTTAGTCTCAGACAAGACGTGCTTTTCAGCTCTAACTTAATATACTAGAAATGTTGACTCTGCTGTGTGAATCTATGTTAAGGTGTCAGTTTTATATTGGTGACTTCAAAAAGCTAGACAGAACAATACAAATTTCATTTTACCTGTATGTAATAACTGTTTAGTAATGAACAGTAACTGTATTTATGGTCTTAACATGATAGCAGTCCTAAATAATTTAAAGAACAAATTTTAAAAGAACATTTAAAGAACAAATACGTGCTGATTTTCCCCCTTTAGGGAGATAATCTCTTGCTCTAAATTTAGAATAACAAGTTTGCCTTCTAGGCAATAATATAGCCGGCAAATATCAGGCTTATGCTCGCTATTGTAAGCAATAAAGGTGGATGGTGACATCATCTCCCATTTCAAAAGAAAGTGAAAAGATGCCAAACTTCAATGAGTTGGAGACTATGAGGCAGTGCAGGGTGGTGCTCAAGCCTACACATCAGCTCTGGAGTCAGGCAGGACTCATTTTCAGTCCCATGAACATGACCTCCCCTGAGCTTGTTTCCTCATCTCTGTATCTGGACAAATATACTAGAACACACTTCAAAGAAATGCTGTTAGTGTCAAGAATAAAGTGGTTGGTACAAAGTAAGTTAACAATCGATACTGCTTTCAAGTTCTCTCACCTTTCTCTATTTTTTCTTTTTCCATAGCATTTCTCATCTTTTTTTATAAATTAAATTTAAATGCTACAAAAAATACAACAAATATCGAGTCAACACACCCATCCAAATACATGTATCATCGCTGCATTTGTTGTGAGCAGTTGAATCTGTCCACTGTGCTGCTGATCTAGTATCAAGTTGTCTCTTATTGACAATGTCAGTGGCTCCTGACTATCACTGTTATATGGTCAGTTTGTGTCCTTGCATATTGAACAAGGGGTAGGACACTATAGTATGACCCACAGGAGAATACAGTGACTTTCTTAAAGGGGTCCATACAGGTTTGTGAGTGAAACCCTTCCCAAATTCTTTTTAACCTGATATTAAGGGAAGATGTTTTAAAATGCCACATTTAGGGGATGTATAGCTTCATCCTCACACAGAATGCCATCCTTTACCTCAATGAAAACTGCATAAAGATAATTAACAAACTCACCTAAAAGGTCTACCTTAAAAAAACAATGATTTATCTAAAATTTTTTCTATGTCTATCAGTTTTTAGTGAGATTTACTCCATTAACATAATTATCACCTCTTCATATTGTAATGAAAATAACATGTTATTTACAAATACTGACTATATATCTACATAAACATTTAAACTGCAATACCAAAAATAAAAGTACACATACAAAAGCAAATGCACAGGTACAGAATAATATTCCTGTGACTCTAAAATGATAAATAATCTAGAAACAATCTTAACGCCGTTCTTTTTACTTTCAAGAAAACACTACTATTGTTGTTAAAATAGATTTTAAATATACAGAGTATTGCAAAACCTGAAACAATTCCCTTGGAGGAGGGAGTATATTTCCCATGCATACTGTACAATATTTTTAAAAATCAGGAATAGGTTTTAATATTTTTCCTACATAAAACAGTATTAATCTGTGAAAGTGGCTAATAAGGCTTTGATATGTAATTTAAGACATTTGGTTAAAGGAAAGAATCTGATAAACCTTAGGCTGGAATGCTAAGCACAACCGAGGGTGTGTGTTGACCAAGGCACACTGGCATTACTTTGTAGAGCCGATCAATAGATACTAGCTTTCAAAAGAGAGATTTAGAAAGAAGCTGCAGCATATTTTTTAAATGACAGGGTGAAGGTTTAAATTGTCTCAATCAAGACTCAATTTTTCTTCCCAGTTTTTCCAGCTGTCCTCTTCCAGTTAAGACTCTTCATTTCAAATAAATTTAATTAGTTCCAATTGATCATCGCCAGCACTTACACAGCTTTATCCATGCTTCTTTACTTTTATACAGCAAACACAAAGACTGCCAAGCTCAGATCCAAGTGTCGTTAAGACAATATTCATACCTCATTTGCTCTTACTCAAAAGAAAAATTTCAAATATGAAATTCTGCCTATACAAAAGCACTAAATTATACTTCATATTTTAATTGCTATCTTGGTCAGCTGTTGAATTCAGTTAATTGAAGAATTAAGCCCCAGATTACTACAAAAATAAAATTAATACAACTATGTATATTAGCCTAGCTACAGCATTCAAATAAGAATTCATTCAAAATACAAGCAAATATCTGTCATGTTATAATTTCTATTTGGTTTTTTTTGTTGTTGTTTTTTTGTAGTACGCGGGCCTCTCACTGTTGTGGCCTCTCCCGTTGCGGAGCACACGCTCTGGACACGCAGGCTCAGCGGCCATGGCTCACGGGCCCAGCTGCTCCGCGGCATGTGGGATCCTCCCAGACCAGGGCACAAACCCGTGTCCCCTGCATCGGCAGGCGGACTCTCAACCACTGCGCCACCAGGGAAGCCCGATTTCTATTTGTTTTGAGGTGATATTATTAGAGGAATTCCTTTTAAACAGCCAGGGGAAAAATCAGATTTTTCAAAGTGAATGGCTAAATTGGCCAGTTTTCCCTTTCGTAGTACCTCTTGTGCTCTACAATGCTGGTTATCCCAAAATAAGATTATTTTGCTTGAAACAGGTTTCTCTCAATGCACCTACCATATTTTTCATAATGCAATTTATATAGGATTCTAGTCAATAAAAAGAAATATGGTTTTCTTCTAAACCCTCACAGAAATCTATACCACATCTTAATCAAGCCACACAATCTAAAGGTAGCCTGAACGATCTACAGGCGGCAGCATGCTCGCTGCTCTGACAACATGTTAAGGGAGCCTTTGGCGTCATTTAAATTCTTTGGCTATTGAGCATTCTTGCTTCTAGTCCTCATGGCATGAAATGAGTAAATCAACTGATAAAAGCCATACATCACATACATTTAACTGAACTCTTACAGATTAAAATATAGTTTATGTAGCATTTATTCCTTTATTTATTTATTTTTTTTGCGGTACGCGGGCCTCTCACTGTTGCGGCCTCTCCCGTTGCGGAGCACAGGCTCTGGACGCCCAGTTTACGTAGCATTAACTGACTCTCCAAACTAGATTTTTCATTTTTTCTTGATTTTTTAACAATAAAATAAGCACACAGTCATGTGCTATAATGCTGTCTCGTGACTTCGGCACAGCATAATTCAAAATTTCAATGTACTGATTTAATAATACTTACTCGAGAGCTCAAAAATTCAGCTTTTATTCTGGAATGCAAATTGAGCTATTCTACTACTGCAAAGGCAACTTCTTTCTATTATTTAAACCACGACTTTTTTTTTTTTTTTTTTTGCGGTACACGGGCCTCTCACTGTTGTGGCCTCTCCCATTGCGGAGCACAGGCTCCGGACGCCCAGGCTCAGCAGCCGTGGCTCACGGGCCCAGCCGCTCCGCGGCGTGTGGGATCTTCCCGCACCAGGGCACAAACCCGTGTCCCCTGCATCGGCAGGCGGACTCTCAACCACTGCACCACCAGGGAAGCCCTAAACCATGACTTTTTATAGACAAGAAAACCTTTAAAATTTAGAGGGAATAACAAAACATATCTATAGCATTATTTTTAAAAAAGCAGTGAAAACTGAATAAAGCAAGAAATAGTTTTTAAAAATCTTTAAATGAAATAATTTCCTCTAGTAGCTGCCAAAACAAGTTCCATAATTGTGAAGTACAAATGACTTTCAGCAAAGTTGGAAGTTTGCAAACTAATTTATATTTAAGGTGGATGATTTTTTTTTAATCAATGAATTGATACATTAAAAAGTAAGAGCAACCACCATCATCTCATTTTTGCAGAAAACCGGATGCTCCTCAATGTAGTCAACTACTTATTTGCAGCAGTGGCACAAGTCTATAGGTTTTTAAATAAAGGCTTTGTAAATTTTCAAGGGAGATCATAAAGCTCCCTCAACTTCTTCCCAGTGAAAGAAATTTAAGGGCAGTCAGGTGATAACAGTAAAGAACCTGCTACACAGAGCTTTAAAAGAAAAAAGGGAGAGGAAAAAAAATACAACTTCCCTTTGTTTTTTGGTTTTTTTTTCTCCCTTTAATTATTGTTAAAAATTTTACTGATATTTACTGGGCATGCTTCTTTTCAAATTATTGATTACTATTAAGTTAATGCTTCTTGTTTCACAATAGTTGTAGATTTATATGGTCAGATTTTACATTTTAACCATACGCACCAAAAATAAGAGTTTATCATTCTTAATACCAATAAAAATATTTATACTAGGTTGTTTTTATCCTCCGTTCATTGAAAGAAATTGAGCTGAATGCATTTGGAGATCCAGTAATTGAAACTGCTTTAAGCCTATAAAAAGACAGGCTGAACATATGCAGTGTATGGCTTTCATAAATTTTACATTATGCCTGATCAGGTGATAAATAATACAGATAAGAATGTTGAATACCCAAACAATGTAAGTAATTTGAAAAAGCAGGATTCATTTCTATAGTATAGGTACAAAGAGTATCTGTAAGTTTCCTCATGTAGCCTGTGTTGCATAAATTGCTATTACAACTTTGATATTTTCAGTTTACCCTACTATAATTGCAAAACTTTTCATAACACAATAAGTGTATTCCTCTACATGTTCCAAGGCTTTAGTAATGATCCTAGCCTCTGAATTAGAAGGTTCTCAGAAAATCAAATGCACATCTAGCAGGTTCACTGTTATAACAACAATGAGCAAACCTGGACGAAATAAACAGTCTGCTTCTTTCTACTTCAATATCAAAAAGGGCACTAAAGGGTATCAAAAACTAAACACTCCATCAGTGCAAGTTTCCATCCTTTCCATCAACATATTTAACCCCACTGTAAACGACCTAAAAGCATTTTCCAATACTGGACGTTAAAGATATCATGGTTACCAGTGGTGATGTCATCATCCACAAGGTCGTGCTCTTCCTCTTGGACTTTGGCTTCTGGCCCTGAGGCATCAGGAGCAGTGGTAATAGTCTGCATGGCTTCTGCTGAGACCCCAGCTAAAACAAATGGGAAGCACAAGGGTTAGTTTTTAAAAACTGAAAGAAAGGTGGGGCTTCCCTGGTGGCGCAGTGGTTGAGAATCCTCCTGCCAATGCAGGGGACATGGGTTCGAGCCCTGGTCCAGGAAGATCCCACATGCCGCGGAGCAACAAAGCCCGTGCGCCACAACTACTGAAGACCATGCGCCTGGAGCCCGTGCTCCGCAACAGTAGCCACAGCAATGAGAAGCCCCGTGCACCGCAGAGAAGAGTAGCCCCTGCTCACTGCAACTAGAGAAAGCCCCCTCGCAGCAATGAAGACCCAACGCAGCCAAAAATAAATAAATAAAATAAATAAATTTATAAAAAAAAAATGAAAGGTGGACCAAAACTCTTAAAGCATTTTAATTGACTTACTGGATGCAAATGCAATATGTTAAAAAAAAATACAATATATTCACCAAAATTAGGGAGAGACAGAAATTAATGAACAAAATATTCATGTGTGTTCTATTGCTTTATATATATATATATGTACATGGATGCAAACTATACGGACTTTTAACTAAGATCTGGGAACAGAAAAATGATGAAGTAAATTACAGTTTTACTTGATTCCTTTCAATGTTTTTGCTACAGTTACTTTAGCAAATTTAGACATAATTATGCTAAAAAGAGGGAGAAAAAAACCTAGAGTGAAGGACTATTTTAAAAGTTTACTTCTCTTTAATATTAGTTTGCTTATAATTTGGGGGTTGGGAAGACGGATGATGACAAAAGAGGGATTTGTGTTCTGATTCTGTGTAAAAGACCTGAAATGCATTGCCCCAAGAGCATAATATCTCTCTGTCTCTGAAGGAATTAGATATGAGGTCAGATAATTATGGAACTGAAAGAACCTAACTGAAAGCAGACAGGTGAACTAGATCAGGGCACCAAAAACTTCCATTCTGTAAACCACCTGAGAATCTGAAAGTTCATACAAAGGTCTTTTCCTTACTTACCTAGTTTCCCATCTTTGATGATACATAGGTTCCCCCCCTCCACTATCTGAAAGTAGAGCACTGCTGTGAAACCTTTTGTAAGCCAGAATGATATAAAGCAAAGGAGCAATCACCTTAGGACACATCTTCCTAACAAATGCACAGAATTCAAGACAAAGCACAGATGCTCACAGACACAGTTCAAACCCATGGCAGATTGATGCTGAGATGCTGAGCTAGTTCCCAGGGAAGGAGCTTGGTGGTGCCGCTCTAAGCCGCTCTTGGTGTGTCTGGCTCTGTGACAGCTCACTGCTAAACAAACGCTGAGTGCTATTATTGCCTTTTGTCTTTTCTCATAAAAGCGAAAATCCTCTTGAGCTATCTTTCAATCAGCAAAAACAGGTACTGACGACAATCTTTCATAAAAGTGAAGGGTTGTAAAGCAAACTTTCAAAAAGAGGAGAATGCCTATATTTTGTTGTCAATTTGCATCTAATTAGGCAATGGATAGGAGGGGGTGTCCAATATTTTACACATGGTTACCAAGAGGTATTGCTCAATCATGGTATAGAAAAATGTCACCCACTGGAACTTACTTCAGGAGTTGAACATTTTAATCAAATCTTCTTAATAAGTACTTCGATAACTGCACATATAAAATCTAACACAATATTTTTAAAACCAGAAGCTACAAATATTCCAGGATTTCTTTTCTTCCAAGATGCATTAACTGAATTTCTATATGAAATTCAACCTTGCTGCCTCAGGTTTATGAAAGGCACCAAGAGGAAGACTCTTAGTCATTAACCACCATGAATGATCCAGAAGTAGACCTACCAGTAGGCAGTTCCAAGGCCTAACAATTTAAATTTGGGGAGGAGAACGTCATTTTAGTGCAAGCACTTTATTAAGTATTGCTCCAACAAAAGAATGAACAGTGCTAAATGAATGGTCCCCAATAACAAAAAATGACAAAGGCCATCCCTTTACAGCATCACTTTTGTTGTTAGGTTTTCAAGATAAAATTTTAAAATAAAGAGGAATTACTAGAAAAATAATATTATGTTATTTGATTAAAGATGGTTATCAGTAAAATAATCACAAAGAAGAGATAAGAAGGTAAACGCCACATTTCTACAGACTTACTGCTTAAGCACAAAATCAAAGATCGTTGTTTCAGATTATTAAATCAAAATATAAATCTCTGAAATCTTTCAGTCTCATTCCATGCTTAACAGTTGATAATTTTGAAAATGATCAGAGAAACAGGGAAATGATATTAAGGAACAGTTTAGATGGCAACAATCATTTATTAGTAGTATTTTCCTTTCCTGTAAAATTAATGGATTCCATGAAAATAACGCTAGTATTTATGTGTAACAAGTTTATAAATCCATTTAAATTTATCTCATTTAATCAGAGAGGTCAAGTACTTGCTTGGCATAACACAGTTACTAAATTCAAGAACCAGTATTGATGTGTAGATCTTCCGATTTCAACCCCAATATCCTTTTACCAGTAAGTCCTCCCAGGGACTGAGTTGCTCAGGGCAGGATAGGAGGCATGACAGAATATCACAGCACAAGCATGAGAAGTCATGGAATCCCATGATATTGAGTATAATTACTGTGAAGTCCTCCATGGTGTTCTTGGGCTATACTAGACAACTGTTCAACTGAGGGCATTCAGTATTTTGGAACAGAGCTTAAGAAGCAAACGTGGATATCTCAAAGTAACCAAGGTTGAAAGACCAAGAAGTATCTATGCTGAAACTGGTTCTTTGATCGATGCTTTCCAAAACAAAGTAAGGGTTATAAAATCCTATATATCTTGTCAGAAAAAAAGAAAATAGAGTTGATTATTGAACAATGCAGGGGTTAGGGGCACCAAACCTCTGTGTAGTCAAAAATCTGGGTGTAACTTATAGCTGGCCCTCCATATCCATGGATACAACCAACCACAGATCATGTAGTACTGTAGTATTTACTACTGAAAACAATCCACATATAAGTGAACCCACTCAGTTCAAACCCACGTTGTTCAAGGGTCAACTGTACAAACAACAAAAAAAATAAAACTACAAATCAATATCTCTGATGAATATAGTCTCAAAAATCCTTGACAAAATATAAGTATTACATTGATTTTTGAATCAGTGTAACACGATCCTTACATTAATTCAAAAAATCAATCAATGTAAACCAAAATATTAAGAGGTTAAAGAAGAAAAAAAATCATATGAACATGTTAATAACTTGATAAAATTTGACACCAATTCATGATTTAAAAAAACCCTCAGAAAAATACAAATAGAAGAGAGAGAGGAACTTGTTCAAGTTAATAAAAGCACCTACTAAAAATCTGCAGCTAACATTATACTTAACAGTGAAAGGCTGAATGCTTTCCTCCTGTGATCAAGAATGAAGTAAAGATGTCCACAATGCCACTCTTATTTAACATATATACAATGGAATATTACTCAGCCATAAAAAGAAACAAAATTGAGTTATTTGTAGTGAGGTGGATGAACCTAGAGTCTGTCATACAGAGTGAAGTCAGTCAGAAAGAGAAAAACAAATACCATATGTTAACACATATATATGGAATCTAAAAAAAAAAATCGTTCTGATGAACCTAGGGGCAGGACAGGAAAAAAGACGCAGACGTAGAGAATGGACTTGAGGACACAGGGAGGGGGAAGAGGAAGCTGGGATGAAGTAAGAGAGTGGCATTGACATACATACACTACCAAAGGTAAAATAGATAGCTAGTGGGAAGCAGCTGCATAGCACAGGGAGATCAGCTCAATGCTCTGTGACCACCTAGAGGGGTGGGATAGGGAGGGTGGGAGGGAGGTGCAAGAGGGAGGGGATATGGGGATATATGTATACATATAGCACTTCATTATACAGCAGAAACTAACACAACATTGTAAAGCAATTATACTCCAATAAAGATGTAAAAACAAACAAAACAAAACAAAAAAACCCCACAGCATTGGAAATTTCTAGCCAGTGCAATAAAGCAAGAAAAGAAAACACATACAGTTTGGAATGGATGAGGTAATCCTACTCAATGAAAAAATAACTGTCTATGTGGAAAATCTAAATGAATCTACAAAAAATAAGCAAACTAGTAAGTGAGTACAGCAAGGCTGCAAAATACAAGAAAAAAATTCTTAATTATATTTCTATATGTTAACAATGAATACGTGGACACCTAAACTTAAAAGAAAAATACTAGTAACGCTGGCTCAAAAAAGACTGAAATACTGTAAAAAAGGACTGAAAAGATGTAAATACAAAAAAAAAATAAATGAAACCTACAAAACACTGACAAAACATCGAAGGTATAAATAAATGAAATGGAGAGACATACCATGTTCATAGGTTGAAAGATTCTACATAGTAATGATGTCAATTTTCTGTATACAGGTTTAATGTAATTCCTATCAAAATCCCAGCACGATTTTTTGTACATACAGCCAAATATTTCTAAAATTATATAGAAAGACAAAGGAACTAGAATAGCTAAAAGAATTTTTGAAAAAAAAATAAGGTAGGAAAAATCAGCCAGCCCCATTGAAGACTTATCATTTAAAGTTATTAAAACTATTTGGTTTTAGATTAAGCGAACAGAATAGAAAACCAGAAAAAGACAAACACAAATATGTCCAATGTTATTTGACAGAGGTGCAAAAAGCAAATCAATGGAGGAAAGATAGCCTTTTCAACAAATGGGCTGCTACAACTGGATATCCACACACAAAAAGTATGAACTTTGAACTACGGCTCACACCTTATTTAAAAATCAGCTCAAAATGAATCTGGACTTAAATGTAGAACATAAAACTATAAAACTTAAAAAAAAAAATAGTAGGAGAAAATCTTTGGTACCTGAGGCCAGACTTGACACCAAAAGCACAATCCATAAGAGGAAAAACTGGTAAAGTGGACTTCACTAAAATTAAGAACTTTTGCTCTATAAATGACCCTATTATAAGGTTAAAAAGACAAGCAACAGACTTAAGAGAAAA